TTAAGCCCTTTGATGTTGCTGGTCTCTCCCGCATCTACAATACCAAAGAGGGCAAAAGTGGAGCTTCAGCGATGGATACGTTTTACAGAATTTGAAATCGAGGTGCTTTCGAAGCATCGTATGTCCTGTTGCCCCATCAATCAATCGCGGGTCAAGTCTTGAAGACATGTTTTACCGTCGTTAATAATTAATTGAGTAGACGGTCGCTCAATATTTGAGAACCATACCGGGTTTTCCTTTCTTTCACCGAGCTTGTTTTGGTTGTAATCATCTGACTTAATTACAGATTCTCGGAGCTATATGTGCTTCAAGCTGTTGGTAATGAGATTGCTTCTAGCAAGCAAGTATTGTAAAAGAAAATGACAAAGAAATGGGTGTTCATGAAGAAATTTCCTATCTTTTCTCTCTTCTAAGGAAAAGAACTCTTTAATTATTTCCCACTAGCAGCAAAAAGCATTCTACTACTTACAAAAAATTTCAAAAAAGGAGGTTTTGGTGTAAATGAAATAAGGTTGGCTCACGTTGATTGTACTATATATTATATAGGAGCCAAAAAACGTCTCTGTAAACATGTCTTTCATCTCAATAAATCATAGAGGACTGATGCCTTCAGTAAAGTGCTTCAGACCTTATTGAAAATATGTCTCGAGTTGACCCGTCAAGGAAACCTAATCCAGGTAGATTTCCTAGTTTGAGTTGGATTCCTAATTTAAGTAGATTTCCTATTTTGGATCTAAATCTTTTCTATATAAGAAGTAAGTCATCTTTGTAAGTCGCATCCAAAAAAAACTTCTTTCCGAGACAATTAATCGCGTGCTTGCTTGTGAATCACATTGCAAGAATTTGAAACTGCGAAAATCTTGTTTAACTCATTTGTAATTATAATATCCGTTGTATCACTCGATTTATAGTGGAATGCTGTACTACTCTCTCGTGAGGTAGGTCCCACTAACCGAAAAGAGTAAATTTGGCATCCGATTTGATTCCTTTATTCTATTTATTTTATTGCTAAATCATGTATTTTTTGCTATAGACCCATTGCCTCGTCAAGCGAGCTATCTCAAAGTTCAACAGAAAAAATTGCTGATCAGTAAAAAACCTGCCGTACAGAATTCAATAAATCCTAAAAATAATGTAAGAAGTGCAATTGCACTAACAATTTCAACTTCATAAGTCCGGATCCAGTACATGCATGCGTCAATATATGCAATATAAAATTTAGTTTCCTTCACGAGAACGCACGATGAATATCAATAGCCATCTAGGGAAGCTACCGTATCCATGAAATGTGCAGAAAGTAAGATAATTCCAATCGTTTTCCATTTCTGTAATTGAAAATGGCAAGTTAGCTACTTAATAAATGACTTTGAACTGCCATAAGACTTTAAAACGAGCTAACCCAACAAGCAATGGCTATTTCAAGAGACGAACGACATTGCTTGTGCTAGGTGATGTCTCACTGCACATAGACCCAATGACAAATTTGCATCTTATCTTTGCTCGCAAAGAATCGCCCCTGCTGAATTCGGCATTAGATGTGAAGATGGTCTCCTTCCTCCAACCACTCTTTTGCTGCATATATATGCTTACACCTTCGAGCCATGCCACAAGACAACACACTAGAGTGCTAAAGTAGTCCAGTCAATACAATTAATGATCCAGCAACATGCCAAGTGATGGGTTAAAATATTAGTCATAGTAATCAGTAAAGGGGAAAATTACCAAAAAACTTGCGAAACTTCTTGCATTACTGCAGATTCAGTTCTAAACCTTTTAACTTGGCCAATTTAGTCTTAAACATTTTGACGATTTGCCAATTCAGTCATAAATCTTTTGACGATTTACCAATTTAGTCTTTCTAGCTAATTTTGGCCAGGAATCACTGACGTGCATAATATTTTAAATTTTTTATGAATTTTCAGACGTGGTGTGTCATATGATGACGTGCCATGTAATGATGTCTATAAGTGTGATGTGTATGCATGTCCATTTGACTAAATGATTTGATCCTTAATGATGCATGTTTTGAAGTGGTGGAGTCAATTTTTCTCATATGGCTTATTTGGGCGTTAATTATGTCGGATGAGGCAAATAATCTCTTCCTACCGATTCACCATAATGCTTGATTTCCAAAGCCTACAATTGTTTTATGATTGTAATTCTAAATTTTTTTTTTGCAAATGTGAGCATACATGAGCCCGTGGATTTTCGACTATAAGCCAATTCGACTTGAGTTTGATTTTGTCACAATATGATTTGTCTATGAGACTAGGATTAGTCTTATTCAGTTAGGGATTTACTTACGAAAGAATGGTAAATTTAGTGGAGTAACAACTAGATTTAGGCTGTGTTCGTTTCCGGAAAATATTTTTCCGGAAAACATTTTCCGCGTTTTCCGGTGTTCGGGGGCGGAAAATGTTTTCCGTGGGAAAACATTTTCTTTCCCCACCGGAAAACATTTTCCTTCCCCACCCCCAAATCCTTCATTGTTTTGAGAAAAATGATTTCCTCTTTTCACAAAGAGGAAATCATTTTCCCCCAAAGTGAAGGCAAAATTGCCCATGGGAGGGAAAATGTTTTCCGTGGGAGAGGAAGTGGATCGCCGGTCACCGCCGCCGGCCGCCGCTAGTCGATGGCCACTCCGGCGTCGCCGCCTGCCGCCACCGACCGCCGCCGACCCGCCGTTGCCGGTCGCTGCAGCCGATCGCCGGACGCCGCCGGATTGGCGGTCGCCGAACACCAGAAAATATTTTCCAAAACTTTTTCAAATTTTAGCCGAACACCAGAAAATTGTGTTCCAGAAAAATATTTTTCAGGAAAATAACTTCCGGGAAAATATTTTCCAAAATGAGAATATTTTCCGGCAAACGAACGGAGCCTTACTGTATTTTTATTTCTGTAGAGTGACGATAAATTTCTAATTTTAACAAAATATCAACTTATATTATATATTTAAACATTGTCATTTATGCATCTAGTCCGGGTCAATTACGATGAAATCTTATCTAAAGTATATCATCTCTTTTCTTTTCCTTGGTTCCATCGCTGCATCCCATTCTTCGTCACATTCTCTGCTTCTTCACTTGGACTCCACCGTCCACCATTGCCCTGCTCATCTCCTAATTCAATGGGAATCAATTCCTTTACTTGCTTTCATCGCCAGCAAACATCTTCACCAAAGTCTCTCCACCATTGCCCTGCTCATCTCCTAATTCAATGGGAATCAATTCCTTTACTTGCTTTCATCGCCAGCAAACATCGTCACCAAAGTCTCTCTCTCTCTCTCTCTCTCTCTCTCTCTCTCTCTCTCTCTCTCTCTCTACATTTTCCTGTCGAAAGCAAGCGGCAGAACTCGATACCTTTACCTAAGGAGATCACCACCAAGAGAGAGTCAAGTCCGAGCCTGTCAATATATTCAGTTGAACCCATACTTATTCAAAAGCTCGAGCCAATGAGTTATAAGCCAACTTGGATGTATTAATTACTCCACCCCTCATCAATTTTCCAATGATCTGACAAAAAAATTAAATCAATTTTCCAATGTGGAACTATTTTAACACAACTCACACGCGCATTTCAATATTTCAATCACCATGATTTGAACACCAAAGATTGATCACACCTTATAATTTGTAGCCCACTAGTAACGTCATCACCTTGGTGCACAACAACACCGTGCCACCTTAAGATGATTCTTAATCATCAATCTTCCCTAGGTGAAAAGGACTGTGCGCTCTTATGTTTTGGTATATTCTGTAAGATTTTGTGGGACCACCGCCAACTGTTCTAAAAGTTTAAGCTATTAGATGAAGACGTGGTTTATTATTTGGATACTCTAACACTCCCCCTCATGCTTAGTCTGATCTCTTTGCCTAGTACTAAGCATGTACATATTTAATTGGTGAGGCAAATGGAGCCCGGAAAGATTTGAACTGAGGACCTCCAGCTCTGATACCATATGAGATTTTTTTTACCACTGTCAACTATTTTAAAAGCTTAAGCTATTAGAGGAATGCATGGTTTAATATTTAATTATTATAATACTCCATTCATGCTTAGTTTGGTCTTTTTGCTTGTTACTAAGCGTAAACAAATTTAATTGGGGAGGCAAATGGGATCTGGAAAGATTTAAATTCATGACCTCCAACTTTGATATCATATGAAATTTTCCGGGACCACTGCCAACTGTTCTAAAATGCTAATGCCACAAAATCTCACATACATCATAAGAGTATGAAGAAATTCCCTATCCTTCTACAATTGAACTTCACGAGTTGAGTATTTTCTTCAATTCCCTCCAAACCTCTAAATGGGCCAGTAGCTTTTGATTTAAGCTTTTCAAAACATCTAAGAGCTCAAACATTAAAATGTTCTAAGTTTACACTTATGTAAGGTAGACACACTATTATATCATCAATCCAATCACTCGTATTCTTTTTCAATTTTCACTATTATATTTCTTTCCGAAAACTAAATAAACGCGAGTAGTTTTTCTTTTTTCAAATGTCAATATTTAATTGATGAATGATACAATGTCAGCGAGTCATGCGATAATTAAAAAGATCATAAGATAGCAATATTCAAAATGTAAGATTTATTTCTATGCCTGCGGGGGCTGCTGTTTCTGATTGTGGCATTAATATTAGGCTTCAATTTTCACCTTACTGCTGATTTGTTTCCATGTATTCCCCGTAGAAGACTTGCCGGAAGAGGAAGACAACCGTCACCATTGCGTGAGTTGAAGTCAAGTCACTAACTATCCACAAGCTATATGCCAAAAAAAAAACTTTGCATTGACTAGTCAGCTCTAGTTTAATCCACAAAAGGAGGTGTGAAAAAAGGAAAATAATCAACTCTTCATGGAAAGATTGTAACTTTAATATTGTTACAGTGGCTACCACGAGGATGCACAAGCCCTATAAATCCAGCAGAGAACCACCCCAAGAAAAAACACAGGAGAGAATTTTCAGAAAAAAGTATTCAGAAGAAACACATTAATCATGAGATCTATTTCAACACTGAAGCTCCCCTTGAGAGATCTGTCCGAATTCGATGGCTCGAAGCCGGGGACGGGTCGACGGGACTCCTTGCAAAGTCAAGTCCGACGAGCCCTTGAAGAATTCGGTTGCTTCGAAGCTTTGTATGATAAGATGACCTCGAAGCTTCACAATGAAGTGTTTCAAGAATTGGAGAAATTGCTCGAGCTTCCGACCGATGTGAAGCGCCGGTTCGACGTCCCAGATAAGCCATATTTCGGCTACATTGCAAATCTTCCTCGCCACGAGGCGTTTGGAGTGGACTATACCCCCAACTCAGGCTCGATCGAAAATTTAACGGATCTCATGTGGCTGGAAGGAAACACAAGATTTTGGTAATTCTTTTTTTTATAACTGGTAATTATATTATCGGTTCCCGTTAAGGAAGTGTTAAGATATTAATGTTTATCAAATGGATCACTAACGACGCGAATTTGAATTTCAACTGCTTTGATGCAAGAAGAAAATCTAAAATGAGTCATCTTACACGGCAATGTACATAAAAACACATGCAACGTTAAGATGCCAATTTACACCCCTATCTATGGAAACTGTAGTTTTGATGTGTGCCTTTTTTATGAACATGCAGTGAGACAATGAATACGTATGTTACGAGGGTTTTGGAGTTGGATTCACTGGTGAGGAAGCTGGTTTTGGGAAGCTTGGGCGTAGACAAGTACTTGGAATCGCTAGCCAAGTCGGTCAAATACAATTTCCGTCTCATGAGATATCCAGCTCCTGGGACTGAGGAGTCCAAGAAGCCCGGGACTATGTGCCATCGTGACGCGAACTTCGTGACCATACTTCATCAAAATCATGTGAATGGATTGGAAGTGCAAACAAAGGACGGACATTGGATCGAGGTCGCCCCTTCCCCAGCTTCCTCTTTCATTGTCCTCACTGGGGAGTCATTCTACGTGAGTACCCCCACCACCCTCTCTCTTTCTATTGAATTTGGTTCAAAAAGTAGGTAACATGCTATAAGCACCGAGCAAGAATTCGAGCGCATGACTTTACGTATTAATTGTAAATTGTTGTTTATACTTATAGTATTGATCATCACCTCTGGCAATAGCTAGAATTACGACCTTAAAGCTGATTTCTTTGTGAAATCCTTATTGACCCGGTTGCCGAGTGAACCATAGATTCAAATGGTCGAATGCTTATCGATACAGCGAGATTGATGCTAACTTGTGGTGAGATAAGACGTCTTGTCCGATATAATCTTCTGGATAATTGACCTTGATCATTGTGAGCCTCTCCCTTTCTTCTTTTTGCACGCAGGGATGGAGCAACGGGAGATTACACAGCCCTTGTCACCGTGTAATGATGAGCGGGCACGATCCAAGATATTCAATAGGATTGTTCTCTACCGACCAAGGAACGGTTCAGTGTCCTGAAGAGCTTGTAGACGAGCAACACCCTTTGCTTTTTAAGCCCTTTGATGCAACCGGTCTCTCCCGCATCGACAAGACAAAAGAGGGCCAAAATGGAGCTTCGGCAATGGATACTTTTTACAGAATTTGAAATCGAGGTGCTTTGGAAGCATCGCGTGTCCTGTTGCCCTATCGATCAATTGCGAGTCAAGTCTTAAGGCATATGTTTTACCGTCGTTAATAATTAATTGAGTAGACGGTCGATCAATATTTGAGAAGCCTATCCGGTTAGCCTTTCTTTCCCCTTTTAGAGCTTGTTTAGGTTGTAATCATCTGACTTAATTACAGATTCTCGGAGCTATATGTGTTTCAGGCTGTTGATAATGCGATTGCTCCTAGCAAGCAAGTATTGTAAAAGAAAATGACAAAGAAATGGGTGTTCATGAAGAAATTTCCTTTCTTTTCTCTCTTCTGAGTAAAAGAACTCTTTAATTATTTCCCACTAGCAGCAAAAAGCATTCTACTACTTACAAAAAATTTAAAAAAAAAGAGGTTTTGGTGTAAATGAAATAAGGTTGGCTCACGTTAATTGTACTATTATATAGGAGCCAAAACACGTCTTTCATCTCAATAATTGTTGAAAATATGTCTCCAGTTGATCCCATAAAAATAACCCGATCCAGGTAGATTTCCTAATTTGAGTTAGATTCCTAATTTGAATAGATTTCCTGTTTTGGATCTAAATCTGTTCTGTATAAGAAGGGAGTCAACTTTGTAAAATGCATCCAAAAGAAACTTCTTTACTTGACAATCAATTGTGTGCTTGCTCGTGAATCACATCGCGAGAATTTGGAGCCGTGAAAATATTGTGTAACTCATTTGTGAAATTGAGAAATCGTTTTGCGAGAAATCGTAAGGGGGGCATAATTAAGAGTTGGGAAAGACTGTGAGTATTTACATAAGTCGAGTGTGATTATAATATCCGTTGTATCACTGGATTTATAGTGGAATGTTGTCATGCTCTCCCGTGAGGTAGGTCCCATTGACCCAACCAAGTAAATTCGGTATCCAATCTGATTCCTTTATTCTATTTATTTTATTGCTCGATAATATACATTTTGCTTTAGACCCATTGCCTCGTCAAGCGAGCTATCTCAAAGTTTAATTGTTGATGATCAGTCAAAAACCTGTTGTACAGAATTCAATTAGTCCTAAAATAACCTAAGAAATGCAGTTGCACTAACAATTTCAACTTCATATGTCCGGATCCAGTACATGCATGCGTCGATGTGTGCAATATAAAATTTAGTTTCCTTCACGAGAACGCATGATGAATATCTATAGCCATCTAGGGAAGCTACTCTATCCATAAAATGTGCAGAAAATAAGATAACTCCAATCGTTTTCCATTTCTGTATTTGAAAATGGCAAGTTAGCTACTTAATAAAATGACTTTGAACTGCCATAAGACTTTAAAACGAGCTAACCCTACAAGCAATGGCTATTTCATGACACGAACAACATTGCTTGTGCCAGGTGATGTCTCACTGCACATAGACCCAATGACAAATTTGCATCTTATCTTTGCTTGTAGAGAATCGCCACTGCTGAATTCGGCATTAAATGTGAAGATGGTCTCTTTCCCCAACCACTGCATTACTGCATACATAGGCTTACACCTTCGAGCCACGCCACAAGACAACACGCTAGAGTGTTAAAGTAGTCCAGTCAATACAATTAATGATCCAGCAACATGCCAAGTGATGGGTTAAAATATTAGTCACAGTAACAAGTAAATTCAGTCATAAACATTTTAATTTGACAGATTTAATCTTAAACCTTTCGATGATTTGCCAATTCAGTCCTAAACCTATTGACGATTTACCGATCCAATTCTTCTAGCTAATTTTTGTCATAAATCAATGACGTGAATAATATTTAAAAAATTTAAAAATTTTCTAAATTTTCTGACGTGTTGTGTCATATGATGACGTGCCATGTAATGATGTCTATCAGTGTGATGTGTATGCATGTCCATTTGACTAAATGATTTGATCCTTAATGATGCATGTTTTGAAGTGGTGGAGTCAATTTTCTTATATGGCTTATTTGGCCGTTAATTATGTCGGATGAGGAAAATAATCCCTTTCGACCGATTTTTCATAATGCTTGGTTTTGAAAACTTACAATTGTTTTATGATTGTAATTCTAAAAATATTTTTGCAAACGCGAGCAGACGTGAGCCCTTGGATTTTCGACAATAAACCAATTCGACTTGAGTTTGATTTTATCGCAATATGATTTGTCCATGAGACTACAGTTAGTCTTATTTAGTTAGGGATTTACTTACACAAGAATGGTAAATTTAGCGGAGCAACAACTAGATTTACTTAATACTGTATTTTTATCTCTGTAGAGTGACGATAAAATTCGAATTTTCTAGACTAATCTTGACAGAACATTGACCTAAATAATATGTTTAAACATTGTCATTTATGCATCTAGTCCGGGACGATTATGATGAAATGCTATCTATAGCATAACATCTCTTTTCTTTTACTTGGTTCCATCGCTGCGTCCCATTCTTCGTCACTTTCTCCGCTTCTTCACTTAGACTCCACCGTCCACCTGTGTCCTGCTCATCTCCAAATTCGATTGGAATCTGACAATTCCTTTACTAGCTTTTATCGCCCGCAAACATCTTCACCAAAGTCTCTCTCTTTCGTGCACCAATTTCCTGTTGGGAGAGCACGGCAGAGGCTCGATACCTTTGCCTAATGAGATCACCAAGAGAGAGCCAAGTCTGAGCCTATCAACATATTCAGTTGAATCTACTTTCACTCAAAAACTGGAGCCAATAAATTATGAGCCAACCTAAATGTATTAACTGCTCCACTCCACACCAATTTTCCGATGCGAGACTATTCTAACCCAACTTATACGTGCATTTCAACACTTCAATCACCATGATTTGAACACCAGAGATCGAGCGCGCCTCATCATTTGCAGCCCACTAGTCTCGTCGTCAACTTGGTGCACAGCAACATCGTGCCACCTTATGATGATTCTTAATCATCAATCTTCCCTAGGTGAAAGGAGTTTGGGCTCTTTTGGTCTATTCTTCATCATAAGAGTGGGAAGAAATTCCCTATCCTCCTACGATTGAACTTCACGAGTTGCGTACATTCTTTGATTCCCTCCAAACCTCTAAATGGGCCACTAGCTTTTGATTTAAGCTTTTCAAAATATCTAAGGGCTCAAGCATTAAAATGTTCTAAATTACACTTATATAAGGTAGACACACTGTTAAATCATCAATCCAATCACTCGTATTCTTCTAATTTTACAAATGTCAACATTTAATTGATGAATGATTTATTGCCAGCATGTCATGCGATATTTTAAAAAATAATAACATAGCAATATTCAAAAAGTTGGAATTATTTCTTTGCTTGCAGGGTTTGTTGTTTCTGAGTGCGGCATTAATATTAGGCTTCAAGTTTCACCTTACTGCTGATTTGTTTCCATGTATTCCCCGTGGAAGACATGCCGGAATAGGAAGACAGCCTACATCATTGCTTGAGTTACAGTTAAGTCACTAATGGTGCGTTTGGTAACTGACCAAATAGTAACTGATTCTATTCTTTTGTTCTCAGAATCAGTTTTGGAACGAAAATCCGTTTGGTAAATTTTTTGTTCCCGGGCACAAATTTGCACAAATTTGTTTCCAGAATCAGTTTTGGAACAGAATCAAAAAGCAAAAAAAAGTTGCTTCTTGATTCTAGAAACAATAATTAGAAATGGAAAATAATTTTTTATTCTTCTTCTTCTTCATTTTCTTCCTGGCCTGTGGCCGATCGTCGACCGCTGGCCACCGGTGACCGACCACAGGCTAGGGCCGGTGAGGGCGACGGTTGGACCCTCACCGGATATGGCATGGGCTACCCTCGCTGTCGCCTTCGCCAGATCCGGCGAGGGCGGCTCACGGCCTAGGCAAGGGCTGCCTTCGCCGGATCTGACATGGGCGACCCTCGCCGCCGCCCTCGCCAAAGCCACAAGCCGCCCTCGCCGGCCCTAACCTATGGCCGGTCGCTGACGCCGGCAACCTGGCCATGGGCTAAGGAAGGGGAAGAAGAAGAGGAAAAAAAGAAATATTAAAAATTTTAAAATATTATTAATAAAAACAAATTTTGTGTAGTTACCAAACGCATTTTTGTTCTTTTTCTATTCTAAGAATAGAAATTTTGGGCAGTTACCAAACACCTTCAAAGGCTTACAAATTATTTTCGGGAATGGAATAAAAAAGAATCATTTTTTAGCAGAAATTATTTCCAGAAACAGAATGGTTACCAAACACACCCTAACTATCCAAAAGCTATATGCCCAAAAAAAAAAAACTAGCATTGACTAGTCAACTCTTGTTTAAACCACAGAAAGAGGGGCAAGAAAGGAAAAAAATCAACTCTTCCTGGAAAGATTGTAACTCTAAAATTGCTACAGCGGCAACTACGAGGATGCACATGCCCTATAAATCCAGCAGAGAACCACCCCAAGAACAAAATAGGGGAGAAGTTTTAGAAAGAAAGACAAATTAATCATGAGCTCTATTCCAACACTGAAGCTTCCCCTGATAGATCTGTCCAAATTAGATGGTTCGAAGCCAGGGACGGGTCGATGGGACTCCTTGCTATGTCAAGTCCGACGAGCCCTTGAAGAATTCGGTTGCTTCGAAGCTTTGTATGATAAGATGACCTTGGAGCTTCACAATGATATGTTCCAAGAATTGGAGGAATTGCTCGAGCTTCCAACCGATGTGAAGCGCCGGTTCGTTGTCCCGGAGAAGCGGTTCAACGGCTACCACACGAACCCTCCTCAGGCGCCTCCCTATGAGGCATTTGGAATGGACTACGGCCCCAACTCAGGTTCGATCAACAGATTAGCGGATCTCATGTGGCCGGAGGGAAACACAAGATTTTGGTAATTCCTTTTTATTGATGGTTTTTATTGTAACTTGATTAGACTATCGATTCTCATTCGGCAAGTGTCAACAGATTAATGTTTGTCGAATGGATCACTAATAAAGCGAGTTTGAATTGATAATCGATTCAATTACTTTGGTACAAGAAATCTAAAATGAATCATCTTATACGATGGTGAATCATCTTTCGCTATGTGCTTTTGTCATGAACATGCAGTGAGACAATGAATACGTATGTTACGAGGGTTTTGGAGTTGGATTCACTGGTGAGGAAGCTGGTTTTGGGAAGCTTGGGCGTAGACAAGTACGTGGATTCGCTGGCCAGGTCGGTCAAATACAATTTCCGTCTCATGGGATATGCACCTCCCGGGAACGACGAGTCCAAGAAGCCCGACACTACGTGCCATCGGGACGCGAACTTCGTGACCATACTTCACCAAAATCATGTGAATGGATTGGAAATGCAAACTAAGGACGGACGTTGGATTGAGGTCGCCCCTTCCTCAGCTTGCTCTTTCATTGTCCTCACTGGGGAGTCATTCTACGTGAGTCCCCAAACTAAGAACCTATCTCTCTCTATTGAATTTGGTTCAAAAAGTAGGCAACATGCTATAAGCATCGAACAAGAATTCGGGCACATGACTTTACATATCAATTCTAAATTATTGTTTATATTTCTTGGTTTGATCATCACGTCTGCCAATTGCTAGAATTACGACGTTAAAGCTAATTTCTTTGTGAAATTCTTATTGACCCATCGCCATGTGCACCATAGATTCGACTGGCTGAATGCGCTATCGATAGGACGAGATTGATGCTAGCTTGTGGTGAAATAGAAGTCTCATCCGATATAGTCTTCTGGATAATTGGCCTTGATCATTGTGAGCCTCCCCCTTTATTGTTTTTGCATGCAGGGATGGAGCAATGGGAGATTACACAGCCCTCGTCACCGTGTAAGGGTGAGCGGGCACGAGCGACGATATTCCATAGGACTCTTCTCTTCCGATCAAGGCACAGTTCAGTGTCCTGATGAGCTTGTGGACGACCAACACCCTTTGCTTTTTAAGCCCTTTGATGTTGCTGGTCTCTCCCGCATCTACAATACCAAAGAGGGCAAAAGTGGAGCTTCAGCGATGGATACGTTTTACAGAATTTGAAATCGAGGTGCTTTCGAAGCATCGTGTGTCCTGTTGCCCCATCAATCAATCGCGGGTCAAGTCTTGAAGACATATGTTTTACCGTCGTTAATAATTAATTGAGTAGACGGTCGCACAATATTTGAGAACCATACCGGGGTTTCGTTTCTTTCCCCAAGCTTGCTTAGATTGTAATCATCTGACTTAATTACAGATTCTCGGAGCTATATGTGCTTCAAGCTGTTGGTAATGAGATTGCTTCTAGCAAGCAAGTATTGTAAAAGAAAATGACAAAGAAATGGGTGTTCATGAAGATATTTCCTTTCTTTTCTCTCTTCTAAGGAAAAGAACTCTTTAATTATTTCCCACTAGCAGCAAAAAGCATTCTACTACTTACAAAAAATTTCAAAAAAGGAGGTTTTGGTGTAAATGAAATAAGGTTGGCTCACGTTGATTGTACTATAATATAGGAGCCACAAAACGTCTCTATGAACACGTTTTTCATCTCAATAAATCATAGAGGACTGATGCCTTGAGTAAAGCGCTTCGACCTTATTAAAAATATATCTCGAGTTGATCCTGTCAAGGAAACCTAATCGAGGTAGATTTCCTAGTTTGAGTTGGATTCATAATTTGAGTAGATTTCCTATTTTGGATCTAAATCTTTTCTATGTAAGAAGTGAGTCATCTTTGTAAGTTGCATCCAAAAAAACTTCTTTCTGAGACAATTAATTGTGTGCTTGCTTGTGAATCACATTGCGAGAATTTGAAGCCGTGAAAATCTTGTGTAACTTATTTATGATTATAATATCTATTATATCACTCGATTTATAGTAGAATGTTGTACTGCTCTCCTGTGAGGTAGGTCCCACTGATGGAAAAGAGTAAATTTGGTATCCGATTTGATTCCTTTATTCTGTTTATTTCATTGCTTTATCATATATTTTTGGGTTAATACCACAAAAAACTCCAAATTAGTACGCTTGTGACAATTTTACCCCAAACTAATTTTTTGATCATGAAAGACCCCAAACTGGTACACCTATGATAAATTTATCCCAAACTAATTTTTTGACCACTAAAAACCCTAAACCAATACATTTGTGACAAATTTACCTTCCATTAGTTTCCATTAAATTGAATTAATACCACAAAAAATCATAAACTGGTACACCTATGACAAACGGAGGATAAAATATAAAATTGATATATCCATCAATTGACGCGTGTCATTTAACAATGCAATTTGACAGTAAAATTTAACTGAAATAAACTGATGATAAATTTATCACAGGTGTACCAGTTTGGGATTTTTGGTAGTCAAAAAATTAGTTTGGAGTAAAATTGTCACAGGCGTACCAGTTTAGGGTTTATCGCGGTATTAACCCTATATTTTTTGCTATAGACCCAGTGCCTCGTCAAGCGAGCTATCTCAAAGTTCAACAGAAAAAATTGCTGATCAGTCAAAAACCTGTTGTACAGAATTCAATAAGTCCTAAAAATAATGTAAGAAATGCAGTTGGACTAACAATTTCAACTTCATATGTCCGGATCCAGTACATGCATGCGTCAATATGTGCAATATAAAATTTAGTTTCCTTCACGAGAACGCATGATGAATATCAATAGCCATCTAGGGAAGCTATTCAATCCATAAAATTTGCAGAAAATAAGATAATTCCAATCGTTTTCCATTTCTGTAATTGAAAATGGCAAGTTAGCTACTTAATAAATGATTTTGAACTGCCATAAGACTTTAAAACGAGCTAACTCCACAAGCAATGGCTATTTCAAGACACGAACAACATTGCTTGTGCTAGGTGATGTCTCACTACACAGACCCAATGACAAATTTGCATCTTATCTTTGCTTGCAAAGAATCGCTATCGCAAGGACTAACACTTTTTCCCTCTCCTCTCTAGAGTTCTCTCCTCTCTCTCCCTTCTATCTTCACACAACCTTTTTCTTCAACCTCTATGGAGGGGAGGGTTTGAGCTAGATCTCTCTCTCCTCCATTTTTCCCTTTTTCTTTGGCTGATTTGGTTCTATGTTATCTTTTTCTTGTTTTCCTCTCGTTTTGATGAACTTTTCCCTTCTGGTCTAGTTTAGATCTAAAAGTTTCTCTCTCTTGTTTTGGGAAGGCTTCTATCCGGATCTAGTCTGGATTTGGGGTTTTTTTGCATATATGATGTTGGGGTTCATTTTCCTCGGGTTTCGTTGGTGTACAAGTCCAGTTTTGTAGGAGATTAGAGGAGCCTTGCGAAAGTTTCGCTATCATATGTGCCAGATCTGTCCGGGTTTAACCTTTTTACTCTGCACGACAATCGTGTTGGGGACGCTGAAACTAGGCGCAAACCGCCAAAAGGCAAAGCTGTAGCAACAAATGGAGATCTCGGTGTGTGCTTATTACTAAAAACGAGGTCGGTGATTGGCCATCAATTTGGTTTGAGGATGTTCCAAATTTACTCTTTGAGCGTATGACCCATAACCTTGTTATAATGATTTATCTTCTTATTTGGAACTTGTTTTGTTGTTTTGATTTGCAATTGAACTGCGTATCTCTACTGTATATCAATGGAAATAAATAAAATGTTTCTTTGTTTAAAAAAAATACGCCACTGCTGAATTCGGCATTAAAGGTGAAGCTAGGTCGCTTTCCCCAGCCCCTTTAGTATATGCTTACACCTTTGAGACATGCCACACTCCAACGAACTAGAGTGCTAAAGTAGTCCAGTCGAAACAATTAATGATCCAGCAACATACCAAGTGATGGGTTAAATTATTAGGCTGCACATGGCGATCATTCTATGCCCAGAATCAGATTCTGGGCAGAAATAATTCTTTTTAATTCTGTGCCCGGAAACAATTTATAAGCATTTGAAGGCGTTTGGTAACTGCCCAAAATTTTTGTTCTTAGAATAGAAAAAGAACAAAAATTCGTTGGGTAACTACACAAAATTTCTTTTTATTAATAATATTTTAATAATATTTTGAATTTTTTAATATTTCTTTCTTTTTTTTCCTTTTTTTTTCTTTTTTTTTCTTTCTTTCCCCTTCCTTTCTTGGCCATGGCCGACCACCGGCGCCGGCAACCGGCCACAGGCCAAGGCCGGCAAGGGAATCGCGGCCCTCGTCGCCGGCCTCGCCGGTCGCGACGCCGAGGTCGGCCTCGCCTTGGCTGGGCGAGGCCTCGCCGTCGCGGCCGCGGGCGAGGCCTCGCCGTCGCGGCCGCGAGCCGCCCTCGCGGCCACCGACGGGGGCCGCGATGCCCTCGCCGGCCCTGGCCTGTGGCCGATCGCCGACGGGTGGTGGGGCCGAAGAACAACAACAAACCAAAAAAAAATAAAAATCAAGAAGAATCAATTCCAGAAAAATTGTTCCAGAATCAAAATGCTACTTTTTTTTGCTTCTTGATTCTGTTCCAAAACTAATTCTTGGCTTAATTTTTTGCAAAATTGTGCTCAGACACAAAAAATTTAACAAACGGATTTATATTCCCAAACTGATTTTGGGAATAAAAAAATAGAATCAGTTACTATTTGGCAAGTTGCCAAACAGGCCCTTAGTCACAGTAACCAATAAAGAGGAAAACTAGCAAAAAAAAATTCTAAATAGCATTTTGATGATTTGCCAATTCAGTCGTAAACATTTTGATAATTTGTCAATTTAGTCATTCTAGCCAATTTTTAACAGAAATTGTTGACGTGAATAATATATTAAAATTTTTAATTTTTTCTGAATTTTTTTACGTGTTGCGTCACATGAAGACGTCTCAGGTAAGGATGTCTACTAGTGCGATGTGTCTGCATGTCCATTTGACTAAATGATTTGATCTTTAATGATGGATGCTTTGAAGTGCTGGAGTCATTTTTCTTATATGGCTTATTTGGGCATAAATTATATCGGATGACGTAAATAATCCCTTTTGACCGATTTTCCGTAATGCTTGACTTCGAAAGCTTACAATTGTTTAATGATTGTGATTTTAAAAATAATTTTGGAAAAGCAAGTATACGTGAGCCCTTGGATTTTCGATTATAAGCCAATTCGACTTGAGTTTGATTTTGTCGCCATATGATTTGTTTATGAGACTAGGGTTAGTCTTATCTAGTTAGGGATTTACTTACGCAAGAATGGTAAATTTAGCGGAGTAATGACTAGATTTACTTAAGACTGTATTTTGATTTTGTATGGTGACAATAAATTTCTAATTTTCTAGACTAATTTTGATAGAATATCGACCTAAACTTATATTTGTAAACATTGCCATTTATGCATCTAGTTAGGGACGATTATGATGAAATCCTATATATAGTATAACATCTCTTTTCTTTTCCTTGGTTCCATCGCTGCATCCCATTCTTCGTTACTTTCTCCGCTTTTTCACTTAGATTCCACCGTCCGCCAGCGTCCTGCTCATCTCCAAATTCGATTGGAATTTGACAATTCCTTTACTTGCTCTCATCACTAAATTCCAATTCCTTGACTTGTTTTCATTGCCAGCAAACATCTTCACCAAAGTCTCTCTCTTTCGTGCACCATTTTCGTATCAGAAGAGCGCGGCAGAGGTTCAATACCTTTGCCTGAGGAGATCATTGAGTGAGAGCTAAATCCGAGCATGTCAACATATTCAGTTGCACCCATATTCACTTAAAAGTTCATTTCATCACCAAATTCCAATTCCTTTACTTGCTTTCATCGCCAGCAAACATCTTCACCAAAGACTCTCTCTCTCTCTCTCTCTCTCTCTCTCTCTCTCCATTTCCTGTTGGGAGAACGCGGCAGAGGCTTGATACTTTTGCCTGAGGAAATCACCAAGAGAGAGGCTAGTTTAAGCCTGTCAACATTTTCAGTTGAATCCACTTTCACTCAAAAGTTTAAGCCAATAAATTATGAGTCAACCTGGATGTATTAACTGCACCGCCCCACACCAATTTTTCAATGCGAGACTATTCTAACACAACTCACACATGCATTTTAACACTTCAATCACCGTGATTCAAACACCAAAGATCAAGCGC